ATGTGCTATGGTGAGTGCTGTGAATTGTGTAAGACTGATGAATCACAGACCTGTACCCCTGAAACAAATAATACATTATATGTTAATAAAATATTAAAATGCTAAAAAAAGGAGATTTATGCAGCCTCTGATATTAAGTTCATTTAGCTCGTGCCTGAAAACAGAGCAGGGGTTGAATGACTGCAGTAGAGACAGGAGCAAAAAGTAGAGATATAAGCCTATTCCCTAAAGAAAAAGAGGAAACCCCAAAAGCTCCTTTGGAAGAAAAAGGAGAGAGAAGTGTGATCTGGATTTTTTGTGATAAAGGGGAAAATGTCTGCAGAAGTAGATAATAGGAGCTATCTTCTTGCATAATAATTTTAAAAGAGCTTTTGTCAGTCCTTTGCCAAAATGCTGAGCAAAAGAGATGAGGGTCCATTATGCCCTGGATTCTCATTATTCCATCTCTGCTGCAACGTTTGATTTCCAGGATGAAGAGCAAGTCACCATTGAGCAGGATTCTTTAAGAAACAAAGAAGATGAGGAGGATGATCCAGAGACACATCAAAAAGGGTACGGGTTTAAACCAGAGAAGTAACCATACTGACCTCCTATTTGGTTTTGCCACTTTGTTTTATCCTCATCTAATTTTAAACATTTATTATTATTTATTATCTATTACCACCACTACCACCAATCCCCCTTCCCTACTACCCACCCAACATCATTTTCAGAAAAATTAATGCTCTATGATAATCACCGTGGTAAATTCAAACTACTGATATCTTGGGAACCCAATATCCAGGACAGTCTTCTAATTAAAGGCATAAATTACCAACTAATTGCTCCAGTCCATGCAAAAGTAGTTAATTCATCTTCTCAATGTCAATCAATAAGCAATTGATTTCTCAAAACCCAATCCACATTAAGTCCCAACAAACTTGCTCTTACGTTGTAGTATCCTGAAGGTATTCCAACTCCTTATTGCCCCATGAGGTAAGAGAGGCAAACTGTTTTCTTTATTTTTTGGACCAGGAAAATGAAGCTCAGAGAAGTGACCTACTCAAGGTTAGTCAGCTAGCAAGGAACAAAGCTAACTTAACAATTTCAGCTTCTGATTCCTAGTCCAAGATTGTCTGGTTTGTCATAACACTCAAGTATTTGTCAAGTTTCTGAATGCCCATTTAAATTTTATTTAAATTTCTATGTCTCTGAGGAACTTTGTTTTTATGCATCAGAAGGTATCTCTGGAGTTGGTGAGAATTAGGATTAAAAGCTCTTGTCACCATCCAAAATATTTACTACCTCAGAAACCTGAGCTTAGTTCCATCTTTCATTTTACTTTATGGATCTCTGACCCCAGAGGCTGAGAAATTCTCTTGGGTGGGCAAAGGTACTCAGGTTTCCCCTAATGTTAATGGGATAGAAGCAATCACCAGGAGGACAGAAGTGGTCTAGTCAAGATAACCAAGTGGCTGAAGCCTCTATTTCGAGCTACTTTACTTTATGCAGTGTGAGATTGCTGTCTTGGACCACATACATTCTGTGCAATTAAAGAATCTGATGAATCCAACCTAAAGTACATGAATGTGCTCAATTCAATGTTGCCCTCCACCTCTGCCACTTTGAAACACTATCAGAAATTGAAGATGATGGATCATCAACCTTTCCTAAATTCAACCATGAAAACTTAGTCTTTACTGAACTTTTATTTCCTCCATATCTTCTGGATCAGTATTTCTAATTCACTAACATACATAACATCAAAGTTTTCATGAAGTAAGACTCATCATTACTGTGTGATATGCTCTCATACATCCTATTCTTTCTTATTAAAGAAGGGTGTCCCGCGCTGTGCTCTTCATAATCCACTGATGGGTCCCAACCCACAATGGTAGAATACTGTTCCAGATAAGCAACACACACTACCACTTCATTTATCTGGTAATTCAACAAATGCCCATCAAGCAGCCTCATCTCCAAGGGTCCTGGTGCAACTGGGCTCACATCTGTTCTCCAGGAAGTTAGCCAGTCAAGACTTCATCACAAAATATGATCAAAGAAGACAGTAGGAGTAAAGCACAGAGGAATGCCTCTGTCCGAGGAGATGCAAGGTGTTGTAGGAGTGAGGGGCTTGGGCTCTAACCTGAAACGTGCAGGGGGCGCCAAGACTTGGACACACAGGCATAGCTGCTGCAAGGTGGAGAAGTAGAGGGGAGGTCCCAGCTCAGGGTTGAGTCCTTTGAGATCCTGGAGATGAGGAATCTCCTCTAGGAACTAGAAGTGGCAATGATTAAGTGTGTGAATAAATTCCTTCCTCCAGTGGGAGAAGAGGTCTCCATTAGAAGGGGCACTGAGGAAAGAGGTGAGTGCAGGGAAGCCAGATTTCACGGCAGGAATGGAGGGAACCAGGAGCACCCCAGGAAAAGTAGAGGACAGTCACTGTGTGTATGGCCCTGAGGCCCCTCCAAACTCACTCGCTGATGGACACCGTCCTCCCCAGCACAAGTGATCAGATGCACATATTGCTCACTCACTACCCACCACCCCCTAACAAAGCTCTGGACAGAAACAAAGGCATGCCCACAATGCCAGAACTTTCTGGAAAGCTATATTACAACCTGCTGGCTTGTAGCTCTGAACTCCACAAAACCCTTCTTTACATTTCAAGCACCCAGTGAAGTCTGTCAGTCTCCCACTAAAACATACGGTAAGCCAGCACAGGGAACAACCTGCTTACTCAAACTTTGTGAGACCAGAAGGGATGAGAGTTTCTAAAATCAACATTTCATAACTGTGGCTTAAAAGCTATCAGAGGCCCTCAGAGTCCAGTGAGAAACACTCTCGTCTTACGATTTATTTTCGGCTTTTGTTTAGTTACCAGCTCTCCTGCTCTTTTTCCAGAAGCATGTTTTCTGCATTTCTGTAAGCCCTCAGGGCTTGGCACATCCACGAAGCAAAAGTTGATCCAAGCCATGGCTGCTTGTAGTCTTAAATGAGATGAGTATCCCATTTCTATTTTGTAGGACATTCACTTCGCCAATTTGTTCATTTGCTTGCTTGATTTACAAAGCCTCACCTAGCTCAGTGTGTCAGTTTATTTCATGTTTTTGATGTTTACTTCTGCCTACCTTTTTGCTTTTGTGTTGTTACAGGTATCTGGAAAGGAAGTATGATACGGTTTGTGATTTTTATAAGAAACACAAAACCACCCTTTGGTACATCATCTGGGAAATCTTACTACTAGGTAAATAATGAAAGGAAGGATGGATGCCAGCGTCTTTTTTTGAGAATCCCCCAAATATTAGTTTTCTGTAGAGAGAAAATAAATCTTTCTAATCTTTCTGTTCCCCCGGACTTTGGTGAATCCAGAGAAGCAGAGAGGATAATCAAGAAGCCCCAAGAGGTGGGTCTCGACTGGGGTTGCCTATGCAGATTGTTTCCCTGTTCAGTTTATGCAGCCAGGAGCTAATTATTTAGGTCCCCTACTCTTACAGCCTTTGTTGCTGTAATGGATTTAAGGGTTGGTTAATGCAAATCCAGGTAACTAGAAAACATGGTGATACTCACCGGGTGGGAACCTAATTGCAGGGGGCAATCTAAGCAATTCACACTTCATGCAAATACAATGTGAGCAGGAGCCTGGGGTCATGTAGGCTATTCCTTTTGCCTATCTTTGCTGATGAGCAGGTCCCCTCTATTGACTCCCTCCAAATCAAATGGTTCCACAGCCCATTTTGCAAAACACTCCTGTCTATAAAATGTGAACCCTCGCACCCAAGTCCGCTGACATTAATTGAGGATCACTGCACCTCCAATGTCAATGGCTTGGTTGGTGCTCAGATAGCTGAAACAGGGAACAGCAGGGTTGAAAGCTTCCTCTGTACTGGGCCAGCTAGTATTCTAGGCTTTTCAGGCCATGCAGCGAACGCCACACAACTCTGTATTCAGTGGCTTCTTGACTGAACCTCCCCTTGGCTGAGCCATGTCAGTGCTGGAGGCTGGTCGGCAGCTTGGTGTGGGTGATGTTCCATGTCTGTGCTCACTTTCTCAACAGGTTACCTGGCGATGGTGATTGCAGCTTGTGTGCTAAACTTTCAGAGAGCCCTTCCCCTTTTCGTGATCACTGTGGCCGCCATCTTCTTTGTGGTCTGGGATTACTTTATGGCCAAATATGAGAATCAAATCGATGAGTGCCTGTCTCCTGGCAAAACGCTCCTAAACAGCCATTGGTTCTGGATGAAGTGGTAAATGCACCCAGTCCTCTTGTTGCTTTTGAGAGGGATGTTAGTCTTTTCCAACACTGTTCCAAAAATGTGTTCTGAAATTGCTCCCTCATTTATGGGCTATTGAAACAAGAAATAACCGAGTTATAATGCTTGTTATAATGCCTTCATTTTACAAACAGGAAATCAAGGCCTAGATGGGGCAATGACACATTCAAGATATGTTCAAACGTCCCTACAAACTGCTTTAATTTCAAGTGCCACTAAATGATAAAATGTTGTCCAATGATGGGACAGTTCTGACTTGGGGAGGCAGCTTTCTGCTCTGGGCCTGAAGCTGGCCTCTCTGAGAGGAAGACCCTGTGAATTATTAAAGCTGACTCTTTCCTATAGGACCCCATATCCTATGAGTGACCACTCAGGGCTTTTCCTTCAGCCTCTTCCTGTGGGACCTCTTCTTCCTCCAGGTGGCCCTAGTGGATTGGACACAGGACAGGTTCTCCCCAGAATGGCTCACAGGGGATGTACCAGGAAAGTTCACAAATCCTTGACCTAATAACACAGGATTGTGCAATCCCAACACAGCATGCCTTCTGGCTCTGCCCTCCAAGCTGTGAGTCAAACTTGTCATGCCCACTGGATCCGCCAAGGAGTCAGAACCCATCCTGAAGCCCAACTTAGCTCTCTGAGGCTCAACTGAAGTCCCCCATCTTCAGAGAACACATTTCAAGTTCTCCCCTAAAGGGAAGAAAGGTAAAATCTCTCCCATCTCCTAAAACAGAAGTCAGGACTCCCAGCAGATCTCTCAAAGAAATCACCAGTCTTCCCTCTCTAAAGCATCCTTTCTCATCTCTGAACCCTTTGGAATGTCCTTGAACCAGCGAAGAGCCCAAGAATTATAGAATGTGCTTCAAGCAGTGCTTAATTTTTTTTTTTTTTTGGCTATTTGCCTTTATAGCCACAACTAAAGAGGGTCTGTGCAATCTCTAGAAGCATAACTTGCCAGGGTATGCTACTCTTAATAAATTTTTTGTTTGTTAGTTTAAGCTTGCTCCAGATTTTCAGGTTAGCGCAACAAATGATGCTGATGCCTCCTTTCTGATTCTCTTAGGGTGATTTGGAGCTTACTGATCCTGGGAGTTATTTTGTGGCTGATCTTTGACACTGCCAAATTGGGCCAACAGCAGCTGGTTTCCTTTGGTGGGCTTATAATGTACATTATCCTGATATTTCTATTTTCCAAGTATCCAACCAAAGTAAGTGTGAAATCAATCCTTTTCAGCTTTTCCCCTCTTTTTTTCCCCCTCATGTCTAAATTGCTCAAAATAATGAGTGTGAGAGAATTCCACTGTTACTCAGTATTTGTCTTACCTTGTTATGCTATACTAAGTGGCTAGGGTGCCTTTCTTCCCAAGCTTTCTTAGTACTAGTACTCTCTCATTTTTCATTCTCAGTAATTTGCCAGTTACACCACCAGTGAGGTGTTCTCTCCTGCCAAGTCCAATTTCTACTCATGTACCCCACCTCCCTCCATCAAACACACAAAGAAAATTTATCTATTTTGATCCTGGTTTCCCCAGGCCAGTAAATAATCTAATATTCTACCACTGGATTCTGCAGTTCATCAAATTTCTATTTGCAAGTTAGGTTATTTTACTGCAAAAATCTGTCCTTAAACAGTTTTGTTCCCACTGAATTCAATTCTCATTCTCATTCTGTCCGCCTGTAACCCATTAAATGGGCAAGAATTCAGAGACATCGAAGCTTTCACTCACGACTCAGAATGGCAAACTCCAGAAGGTTTTACTGGCTTTCTGAAAGGTTGACCCAAGAAAAACAAGTCACCTAATAGGATCCAAAGTGCTTTCCCATCTCGGGTCAGCATCTTCACTGGTTTCTATGCCTCCGATCCCACAGTTCTTTGCAGCCCACTCATCTCCGCACCAAAATGAAAGCAGATGATTGTCCATTCCTGCTGCACTCCCTGGCTCTGCATTAGAGTTAATTGGCTCCTTTTACAGTGAAATGAGAGCCCCTCAACAGGGTGGAATTTCACTTAATTCACTTACAAATTGTCAGATTAACAAACCTTGGGCACACAGAGAGAAGCCATGTTCTGCCTTTCCATTTTCCAGAGAGGGGAAATAATTATATGTCTCTAACATTTACAGCACAATGAAGAGGACCAGATCCTTCTTCCTTTAATGGCCCCTCTAAGACTACTCTTTGTGTCTAAGTTATTTTATCATGATATAATGGTTACCTACTCTCCAGGGACTGAAGGCTTCAAGCTCGGGATTTGAAAGAAGGAATGCAACCCTGAGATCTGGGGTCATGATTCTATCAAGGGATTCTCTGCTCACAACTGCTTTGGCCTCCCAAAGAAGGTGGATCATAGGCCACGTGTGAGAAGCTTCCAAGGAAATAGTGACCCTCTGGGCGTGTATGCTGAGCTTAGCATTCATTTTCTAGTAAGCTCTATCTCTTCATCTTTCCGCATAGGTTTACTGGAGGCCTGTCTTTTGGGGAATTGGGTTACAGTTTCTTCTTGGTCTCTTAATCCTAAGGACCGACCCTGGATTTATGGCTTTCAATTGGTTGGGCCAACAAGTTCAGGTAAGTTGGGTTCAAATGAACATCTTGCTTATAAGTGCTTCTGACATTTGGATATAATCCTTAAGACATGTCAGAAATAGGTTTCTTCATCTGCATGGGTTGACTCACATTTTTGTTTGTGTAAACACGTTAATCTGTCTAGTTTATTAATATTACAGTTGTCCCTCCCCCGTATCATCCACTGCATCACTCCCCTATCCCAACTGTCCCTTTCGTCCTGCCCCAGAGGGGTCACACTTCTTTTTTTTTTTTTTTTTTAAGATTTATTTATTTATTAGAGAGAGAG